ATTTTAATAGTTGAGATCATGGGTCGATTGAAGCTAGACCACCATGGGAAACATAGAAGCACTGGACGACCGTTTTGTCCTATTGTGGGACTCCTCAACAGTTATTTATTTGTTAATATTAATTTTTTGAAATTCATACTATTTGAAAATATAAACGAATAATAATCACAAAAGAATGCATGAAAACTAAAAGAGAAATAGGCAAAACATTAAATTTCAATGATTCAAGATAAATATTAAACAATAGTCTTATCAATATATTTAAGAAAGGAACCTATGGACTTTTATCAATAATCATACTAAGATAAATAACTTTGTACAAAGAAGTTATTTGAATTAATTAACTGTATATCATTTTATAATAGAAAACTGAAAAGAGGTTACTTATTGAAGTTTTATTCAATAAAAAAGTGTTATCATCGATTTCTCTGTATTTATTAACAGAATGAGTTTCAGTTGACAGTGGCTTCACATTCATGAACAAAAGCGACTAATCGAATAAATTCACATTTAAGTCATTTATTGTAATATACATAATGAAATGATAAAGTAGAATATATTCTTTTTTAATCAAGGTCAAATATATATAATGAAAGATAATTCCTATTAAAACATTAAAAATTAAAAACATGAAGTTCAGCGAAGGGATCTCTTTTCAACGAATTTATTATCAAGCTGTACAATCGTATATATATGAACATTTTTAATCATCTTATTCACTAAATCTATTGTTATTATTCGTATTACGTAATCTAGTATTATAATCTTCCTATTACATCATCTTGGTTAATTGTGTTCACATGTCCTAACGGAATTAGTACTTTTACAAAAACAAAAAAAATTTTTTCATATATATACGATTGTACAGCTTGATAATAAATTCGTTGAAAAGAGATCCCTTCGCTGAACTTCGTGTTTTTAATTTTCAATATTTTAATTTTCTTAATACCCGATTAGTTATTTGATAGTAGTGAAGTGTGGGTTATTATGATATTTTAATTCTGAATTCCTTAAAGTATTGCCCATTAAATACTGTTTATTACTATGGAGAGTTTGTATACTATTTAATAGATCACATCATGGACTGATCTTAGTTTGACAGTCATTGAAAACTAAGAAGGATTAGAAAACTGTTACATCCTATTATGGAAATCCTTAGTAGGGTGCTTCCACGAGGAGTCTGATAATTAGACGAAACATATTTTCAGTACTTCCTTGTTTTTAGTGGTTGTTCAAATGAAATTAGTTCGTAATACAAACTATGAATACTTTATACTTATAACAATAAGTGGTAAGATTGATCCATAGTACCCCCATAGTTTTTAAGAACATAAAATAACCCGAGAAAAGTCATTAATGATTAGCGTAGTTTGAAATTATGTCATGGTTTGACTATATGAGTATCAGGTTATGTTAGTTAGTGGATAATAAATGTTTACTGGGTAAGTAAATAAATAAATTTGACCTATCCAAACACACATACATAAGGATGAAATCTAGGAAGTTAATTAAAAATGTCTATAAAATAGGAATTCAGTTTACATAACAAAGAAACGTGAAGTATAATCCTGATAATTATACGATATTTTTGTTTGTCGAAATAGTAATTGGGGAAACTAAATGAAATGAATTGATGAGCATTGCGATATCCTATTAATTATAACAAGAAAATTTCGCAATGTGTTTATATCAGAGAAAGATGTAGTTACTGGTAAAGTTTAGAGAAAAATCCATTAGTCTAATCAGTACATATTAGTTCAGTGGTGATTGAATTAAGCAACACATTCTATTTAAAAAGGAAGTATGTATTTATAAAATCTCAGCAAAAGAATTTGAAGTAAATCCCACAATTCACCTGGCAATCTGGTTCAAGCATTTTCAAGGAAATATAATCAAATATCGAAATTATTGAATATAAATAAGTACATAGTTCTCCGGTTTACTGTATACTGAATAAGTCATCCAATCAACGTTAACAATGTTTAAAGTAGGTATTTACATTAGTGTGTAAGCGACATGTGGTGTGAAACGAAAAGTGCTAAGATAACAGATTGTGTGTATATGTGAGAAGAAATTTCATTCACTATATATTGTCTTCGGTCGGTGAATTTGTGAAGAAAACATGCAATTTTTATATATTATATGAATCAAAAATATCACAGCATGCATTAAATGAAGATAAATAAACAAGATAAAAGAATGATAATTGAAATAACCTATAGTGTCACTGAATAAGAAAAAGAGAATCCAGCGAAGAAAATTTTCTTTACGACGAAATCATTTACTTAAGCTGTACATTCGTATATATAGTTATATGGAAAATGCATGTCTATAGAAGGATAGAAAGGGTTGTATCACGAAAATGGATTCGAGAATATCAACTCTGAGATGCAGGTACATCCAGCTGACGAGTCCCAAATAGGACGAAACGCGCGTCCTGAACTCCACTACTAGCCACTATCTATCTTTGCTTATAAATTATTATTCAGTTTATTATTATAACCTTTGTTGTTTTTCTTCATATCTGTCAATTGGACTATTATCTGACCCATAACCGATTTTCTTCCTTACCTCTTGATTAGTACGTAACCTCATTTGTTATTTATTTATTTTGGTGATACAATCCTTTCTATCCTTCTATAGACATGCATTTTCCATATAACTATATATACGAATGTACAGCTTAAGTAAATGATTTTGTCGAAAAGAAAATTTTCTTCGCTGAATTCTCTTTTTCTCATAAAATAATGATATCAAAGAGGAAAAATGTATTTGTAATTGAAAGTTTGTTTTACTTTAATATCCCAGTCAATTGTTTAACATATTCAGATATGATAACTGATTTGAACCGTTGAATGTAATATTTGGTAATTAGTTAATACGATATAGATAGTCTGAAATAAGGTTTACTTATTAATTATTAGTTCTCATGGAACAGCTAGTTATATTCCATCTCTCTTACTGCGAAATTATTCGATCGAATTTAGACGAAAGTTCTTACACATTCTGTTTACTTTATTTTACCGTTAGAGTATTATATACATTTACTTTTCATTTGAGTTATGAAATGGTATGTAAATTAGAAATATTTGACTTTGGGGACAGAATGATTATTTTATTAAGAAACGCATAGTCTAAAAAGAAACTGAAAAATAATCATGAAAATAAATTAACTTCAATAATATACATAGTAAGAAATATTATATAACTGATTTTTTCCTCAGTTGGGCAATTTAATGATTCATTTCAATGATGATATAGTTAATTTAATATTTTTGGAATTTCAATATCTAATTCTTGATTCAATGCCAGTGTAGTGAACAAGAACACGAGTGTGGGTAAACAACTGTATTTGAACACAGAATTACAGAACATCTCACTAAAATCTGAGAACCATATAGTAAATAGTTAATTTGTAAAATATCAATCCATCGTCTCAGATTTTATTGTTCATGCACTTTCATACCAATCGCTTTCCGTTTTTGTTCTTTCCTTCCCGATCTTTTACTGAAATACACTCTATTCTTGACCAACTATAGATACTACTTATGCGGATGTAAGTAAGTGACACCACACTAGTAATTCTATGAATTAACTTATAATCTAGTTTTATTATTTTCAGATGATTATTTGATTTATCTATTCTGATTCTAGTTATTATTTTTCAGTACAAGAAGAATTTTTAAATATTTATCATGGACATCATAATATAGGTACATTAAATCGAAGTATTTATGAAACATCATATGCTAATAACAGCGATTTCACTGAAGAATCTCCGTTAGTTCATAGTTTCTCGGATGAAAATTATTCAAATACATTCAAAATGAATCAACATTTAAAACCTTTTGAATTCACTGATTCAACCAGTCATGATCTTGGTCAAATCACTTTTACTTATAAGTTAAACAAAGGAATATCACCCAAAATAATGTACGGTAGGTAGACAGTCGTTCCTCTTTTCTTGTATACCGTTTATCGCTCAATATAAATTGGTAGCAATGAATGACTACAAATGAACCGAAGAATATAAATTCTCTGTTAAACTCTGTATACTGTTAATTAGGCTAACCCCGTTGGACAACAGTGGCAATAAAAGCCAAATACTAATTGGATCGGATAAATTTACTTTGGACAGACTGTAGGAGATATGGTATGGAGAAAAGCTGCCCAGCCTATACAACTTTATTAAACGTGACTCAACGTTTAAAGTCAGACAAAAAACTGAGCTAGAGATGGAAGACAGATAGATGAAGCGATGATAAAACATACGCACTATACCCTCATAAAAAGTCAGGGTTACAAGTGAATAATTGTAAAGATTGAATGCATTTGTACATAACGTCTCCAAAATATTAGATCAATTGGTCTTTCCAAAAGTTAGAATGATTTACGTAGGCGTGAAATCGTAGTAAATGCCACAAACTAAACAGAATATATCTGTTCGCTAGACAAAACGTTGAAATTACTTAAATTTTAATCTTTGAGATTATTTAAATACACGCTCTACATTTACTAGCACTAATCACCAGACAATTATTCACACTTTATATTAGTAAAGACCCAGTTATCAATCTTCCTCCGCCTTATTGACCTCGATCCCAAAGGTCTGTTACATAACATCCTTTTCTGACCTTAGTTATAATTCCTTATTTCTTACTTTATCATTTGAATTTTACTCAGATAGTCAATTTCATTCATGAACTAAGATGCTAATAGTTTATTTATAAAAATTCTGTTTCCGAGTTCTTCTTAGTTTTCTCTTCAGGAATATTTATATATTTAGCCTATAAGATAAACAACCATTTGAACAACTTCCTAATTCTTCTACAACTGTTGTCTTCATCCACATGTTACACTCAAATTTAATCAAGACTATTCTTACATAGATTATGAATATTTGTTTTGTTTTTGACGAGGCTGAAAAATACCCACGAAATAAATGAATTCATATTATCATGCTACAACCGTTATTCTTTCTTTATTTAAATGTACAAATTGGGAAAATTTGTATGAAAAGATGATAAATTTTATGTTTAAGTATGCTACTTACTACAAAAGAAACAATAGCTTATAATTGGTGGTTGGGAACGATCCAACAATTTGGGTAAATTTTAGATGTATAAATACATACAGTCAAAGAATTTTTAATCATTGGAAATCATTGATTGTAATGTCAAGCTCTATGCATTCGAGATTAATAATCACTCATGTTATTACTTCAATTAGAAATTTTTTCATAAAATCAGGTATTAAATTGGCCAGGCTTACAGCACTTCCTCAAGAGATATTGAATCGAGCTGAAGAACTTTTGAATACATACATTGAAGAAGAAAATATAAGCAATGATAATGATGATGATGAAGAAACTAACAACAGAAAAACTATGACAATGAGTTATACTGGAGATTTAAAAAAAGGTGATAAATATATCAGCTTAAATTTTCAAAGACAAGTAAGTTTTTCTCTAACTGTATGTTAGCTAGGAGGAGGGTTTTCTTGAAATGAGATCATTGTATACAATGAGCCGTTTTATATTAGTAAAATTCCTGACAAACAATTATCAATATTAAGTTGAGTGTGTGATTTTTACTTCTATCAACTCAGTGCTTGAATAGAATAAAATTACGAACATAAAAGTCTCATTGTACATCTAAGGGACACATTGGGTAAATAATTGGTTACTTTATTAGCAGATATAATTATGCACTCATAATCGAAATTTGAGGAGCGATATCGTCTTAATTCAATAAACAATACTGAAATATTGAACAAAGAACTTAAATGTTGTTCATTTATGTACTGCTAGGTATTGAAGACTCAAAATAACCAGACTGATTTGGATGCATCCATTCCAACTGAATCCTCACATTGTACTACTACGACAGATTTGAGACATGATATATCAAACTTAAAATGGAAAAATACCAAGAAAAATGGTTATTTAACAGTAAATGATCGCTTGGAACATGAATTGTTCAGACAATTACAGATCATATCAAAAGCTTACCAAACACTGAACACAGATCAACGTTTATCTAATTCAGAAAAAGAAGACATTCAACATGAAATTTCAAATTATCTCAGATTTCTAGAGTGTCGATACCAAAGACTATTACTGTGAACATAAAAACAACAAAGTTTTTTTCCTAAACTAGTTGCTATTTATTAAAATATCTATTAGGAGTTTTTTTAAATGTAGCTCTGTTATTCAATTTTCCTCACAATAATAAGTTTGTTTTAGCGAAATTACAAGATCTATTATATATATATATATATATATATATATATATATATATATATATATATATATATATATATATATATATATAATCTGGTCGCTTACAAATTTATAGCTGGAATAAATAGTTAATCTCCATTTAAAAAAACGTCTTCAGTTTATGGATGGAGAGTAACATCTACAACTTAAACCCTATGTTTACTCATTCTTTTACGTATGTAGATTTCCCACGTAGTGAAAATAAGTAGAACAAGGAGCATTAGTTTTTTTTACTTACATAATTCATCAAATGTCCTGAAAAATTGGAGTTAATCGTTATAAGGCATCGTATTGAAGTGAAATATGGAGAATACTTACCGAATTGTTGTTAACTATATCTACAGATAAATCGAAGAAATAAAGAACTAAGTGTTTGTGAGCCAAATGATATTTCACCTTAATTATAATGCAAGCAATCTGACCTGTAATAAATGACCATAGTATTCAGCAAGTTAGTTACATAATATTTTATCCATAAGCTTATAACAGCAATTAAAAAATTTAACTATTCGCTCATTAATTTACATAACATGTACTTCATACTGTTAAGATGGTGCCAGGGAAACAGAAATATACTACGTGGATAACCATCCTCTTTGGTGAATGTTTACCGAACAATTATTTAATGAAATGCTAACACAGTAATAACTAAGCGATGTTTTTTTTGACTAACCAGTTACTTTCATTTCTATTAACTACATATTTGTCATTCCCATTCTTATTCAAAAACGCGCTAGTGCTTATGTAGATTTAAAATAACCTATAGTGTCATCGAATAAGAAAAAATTTTCCATATAACTATATATACGAATGTACAACTTAAGTAAATGATTTCGTCGAAAAGAAAATTTTCTTCGCTGAATTCTTTTTTTCTTATGTAGATTTATTATTCATGATACACTTTGGTTTGCATCTTACTGGTATAATGATTAGATAATGCGAAGATACTTCCGACTACTTTGGCTTATCGGTCTTATGATGAATACAGTAACGAAGTTTGTGGTCTTATTCTTAATAGCATAGAAAAGAACTCGATACATACGAAATTATAATTACGTGTAGCAAAACACCTTAATTTAGGTAGATTTAGCTTTCTTAATAATGGCCTTACAAAATGTATGAGATTTTTTACTTAGATTCCTCTTTAAAAATTGCCTATAACGTCAAGTAAGATCTAGTTTTCAACCTGGTCTCTTTACTTAACACGTCATTCTTCCTGCAGTTAAATTCTCTGTACAAGTCTACAGATATGATTAATGCATCTTGATATAATCAAAACATGACCTCTCTCCAACGGTTTTATTATCAACATTTGAAGTGAGCATCCAGTGAATTCCTGATACGTTCGTACACTGTGCTATTAATTTCATTGCTTTGACTGCAAAGAAAATTGCTTCTATCCCTTAATTTTTCCTACCCCACTAACTAGAGTAAAAGTATCAATTTAGTGGATGAAACTTTTTGATGTTAACCCATTATAATCAATCCAAGTGCATTAAGTTTATCGGTCATAGATTGACAAAAATGACTAGCACATTCAAACAGTGAATATCGTTACCATAAATATCTTGAAGTCACATGGGCTGCGTTTACACTGAATAATTTACTGTAACGCAATACAAACCCAGTCGATATTGATTTGCTTTTCGTAAGTTGTAATCGGAGATTGCGCATTCCTAACAATTGTTTACAATCCTAAAATAATGATACAATTGTTATATCCTATCAAGTAGGAAATTTAATTTCCAACTTTACCGAATAATTGACCAGGTAGTTGGTTATGATGTCCCTAAAATAAATTTCTACAGTAGTTGTAAATAATAACTTCTAACATCAAATCTCCAACGTCCGTACGAACGACAATTACTGTAAACAGGGGTTCACAGCTAGAAAGCTATTTCAGTAGACAGCTTAACTTCTAGAATTCAAACAGCTGTTTATTGTTCTGTTGCATATAGTGTGGTAGAAAGAATACATTGACTGCTAAGTGATTGTAAGTGACAAATTATAACTCAATTCAATACCAAAAGAGAAGTAGAATCGGTTTACGGGAACAACTAGAGATTGTCTGGTAAAATTAAACTCAGTAGTGGGAGTTACTACAGCAGCTAGATGACATATAAGTGACTTAATGTATCATGTTTATGTACGTCGAAATGCATTCACATATTTATTAATCAGTTAAAACATTGAGCCTGATACATACGTCGGTCAGCCCAAGTCAATATTTCATATCAGCAAAATGAGATTAAATCAAAAAGTAGAGAAATAATACTAGTATTAACGATAGTCAGAAAATAATAAGGATCACTGCTCGAGGAGGGAAGAATTAAACAAGACGTATGAATTAATACTGAATCTCAAAACTCAAGGGAAGTGATACGTTCAGACATTGTAAGCTCGGATGAAGTGAAAGATGAATTTTACAGAAAACTCTCTCAACTTATTCAGAAAGCTAAACGTTCAGACATAGTGCTCATAGCAGGTGACTTTAATGCACAGGTAGGTAGCTTAAACGAAAAAGAAAGACATTTAGGTGAGTATTTTAGTATTCTGGTACAGCGAACAGGTAATGGTGATCGTCTGCTGCAACTGTGCTCAGACAATCGTTTATTTTTAGCAAACACAAATTTTAAGCATAAGGAGAAACATCGTCTAACATGGCGACCCCCTGCACCAAACCAACGATGGACTCAAAAAGACCATATTGCCATCAGTCATCGTTGGAGAGGGTCGACAGAAGATTGTCGCTCATTCTGGAGTACCTGACTTGACTCCGACCATGCCCTAATACGAACACGCATCTGCTTGCGCCTCACTGGACTCAAGAAAACCACATTAAAAAGACCCATTAGAAATGAACTGAGTAACGAGAAAACCAAACGTAGGTTCCAAGAACAACTGAGACCACACTTAGGTAGTTCTGAAAACGAGGCTGACCCAGATGTTGCTTGGAAAGATATACAAGCAGCTGTGGAAACAGCAGTGACATCTACTAGTGATTTAAACCACAGGGTTACAAAGAACCAATGGATTTCTTCAAGGTATATTGCACTGATGGATCCTCGTAAACTCATCCCATCAGGTTCTGAACACGATGAAGAGCGTAAACAAATCAGATCTTGGTTAAGCAAAAGTCTAAAAAACGACCGTGAGCAGTGGTGGGCAACGAAAGCAAAAGAGATGGAAAAGGTGGCGGCTATAGGTAACATCAGACAGCTCTTCAGACTCATAAAAGAAACTGGAACTAAAAAGTCAGGTGTAAGTGAGACTATCTCAAAAAAAGACGACGTTCTTTATTATCTTGATATAGACTTAATTTCCCTGTTCGCAGAGAAAAAGCACAAATTAGGTCTCTCGAAAAAGACCAACGAACAAGAATATGAAGCAACAAGTCAAGTTTTCTTCTAATTCTTCAAAAATATCCATTTTGGAGTTTCGATAGATGAAGAATTTTCGGTACAAATAAAGGAAAAAAATCTGTCAACAATGAGATGGAGCTAACAGTCAATGGACGAGAGAATACAACAGTAGGTTGAACAATGCTGCGGTAGTAATGAAACCTGTCTCTGACTACTTGTGTTTTTGAAGTGCGATTACGAAAATAGATGGATTTTCGATGCCCAACACTTCCTAGTTTGAAGGCCATCTTGAATAAATAGATTATCAATCAAGAATTATGTCGTGAGTCAAACACAAACTGGAATTGTTACACATAAATGGTGGGATAGTGTATAAGCTTCCTTACGACTGTTTAGCGAAAGTATTTTAATTGAGAACTAGACATTTAAGCCTACTGATAAGTAAACAGTATGACCATTTGAAATCATAATACAAGAACGTTTTCTGAATGGTAATTGAAAAGTCATATTCAACGAAATGTATGTCGGTTTCGAATGAATACCATTTTGCTACCATACGGCAGGAATTTTAGTGACCCAAAACCTGCTTCGGTTTGGGCACCCGAGCAGTATCACAGCCCTCCCACAAATCAATTGAGATTTGTGTGGCGCATATGTATTTGGTGCCTCCCTGTACCTATACTTATGTGTTAAAATAAATAAATAAATAAAATAGTTACGAAACACTATGATAAAGCATCTCGATTTCGTTACAGAAGTGAAAATGATTAACTAGACACTGAATTGATTGAGGTGACCCGACAGATAGCTCGCTTACGAAGCTTATCTATGAGCTACAAATAGATTTAAAGAAGAGTTATACGATCATGAGTTCAACTAGATATCCTAGCAGCCTAGTCTGATCGAGAATTTTACCAGTTTAATTTGAAGTTCGAGACCTATAATATGCTAAGGCTACATGTACAACAACTTATAACGTAGTTCTATGCAGTTTAAATAGTAAGTAAAACACCCAAACAACATATACCATGCCTAACATATGATGACTAGGCATTTAAAATGAACTGATGTAGTAATTTGATGTTAGTCAACCACCTTCAATATTAGAAGTTACAAAATTAAAACTGTTATACCCTCTCAGTTTTTAATGCAGCAATGTGAACGTATTACATACATTGAGAACAAACCATAAGTTTAACAAACCGAATAGAAATAGTAAGCAAACTCCAAAAAATATATAGACTATATCGTTATATCACTGCATTTGATATATCTATTATCAGGTGTAAAACCATGTGAAAATACTGTCCACACATTGAAGGGTGAGCTGATGTAGGAAGGCCAGTTATGTTTTGAATATATATACACAGAACCAAGTGAATAGGTTACACTAAAGTTCAAATACTTCAAATTGTAGGTACATGCAAGCTCATTGATTAGCCAGAGCAGCCACGGCAACCGCAACTTTGACACTCAACAACTTTACCTTCTTCTAACTTTGACTTTGGTACTCGACATACGCAATTAGTTCCAAAATTTGTATCTCTAGATTGGATGCACCTTAAACAACATAAGTTTTCATATCCTTGTTTCTTCCATTTGGCTATCAGATTTGCATCGGCTATCTTCTCTTTGATGCAGAATTCATACAGCTCCTGAATTCATTAAGATAATGGGTATGACCTACCTTAGAAATAGCTTTTCGTTTATAATACAAATCATATATGAACCGAGACCTCTTATGATGAATGCGAAATATTGGCCATTCAGCCTCAACTTTACGTTTTCCCTCATGAGGGTCAGTTTCAGCCTCACGCATCTTCCTATTCAATTCCTCGATTGTTGGTTCGATCAACTCCCATCCTTCGGGAGGCGGTTTTTTACTCCTCCTATAAGGCGCCATTTCAATAAATCCGAAGACCCGCGTTCACATAGAGTATTCAATTAGCCCTCAGTTCCAGGTGTAATGACTACATATCAAATAGCCTATTTTAATCGTTGAAATTCATAGATATTGGAGGATGTAGTCTCACTCTGAACGCTCCAGAGCTTTCAGGTTTTCAGTGATGGTCTAGCTTAGATCGACTCATGAATCCAACTACTACTACAAAATTCCCCACAAACTCCCATTCCTATAGATATCAAATTTGTCAACTCAGTTGAAAATTTGAAGTCATTATTACCTCATGCCATCATTAAACCTAACAAACTTTCTGTTTCCAGTTTTATGAGTCATATATTTCTTATTCACAAGTGCTGTAATTTACTAATTAGAGACGATAAATCTCCAATCCTTGATTTCCAGTCAGTAAACAATTCTAATACTTAGGCGAGCATATGAATAGTAAGTGTTTAGCCTGTGATGAATTTCACTCATATGATTCGTGTATCTTTCGTCATGCTCAATGCCTCAAGTGTGGCAAAGTGGGACTCCTCAAGTCAGTTTGTGAAACCATTGTTCATTTCATCGCTAGTAAAACTAAACCCTGCTATTATAACAATCACATACTAACCTTATTCACAACTTCGAGCAAGTCACTTAATATTCGAAACCGATTGTATTCGTCCAGTGGTGCTTTTCATGACATAATTGTTGACACTGCCAGTATCATGTCTATCACTTCAGTTGGGATGTTTAAGTCATTAAATCTCAACTCGATAATCAAACCTATTAAGGTTTCCATTTCGATTACCACAAGTCGTAAACTTCTTATTCTCCAATGTTGTGATTTGCTGATTAGAAACGATAAATCTTTAACTCTTTGTGGACTATCTATCCTGGTTCTAGAAAATGTAAGAATGTTTCGATTATAGCTTTCCTTATTGACCACTGAAAATGGTTCTATTGAAATGCTTGATAACGCGTCAACCACGGTATCAACGTGCGAAGAATTACCCATGACTCCAGAGCTTACTCATTCTAATGCACAAGCATAACATTTCTAGTCCTTCAGAACAAACATCAATTCTATAACTGTTACAAAATTCAAAGACCAACAGACAAGAGTAGATAAAGTCTTTCAATGCAGAATTGCCAGACCGTACACAAAGGAAACAATGATGAAATTGTTTAAACAAGAAAACGGTTGTGTCAATAAAAAACGTATCTGGTCTTTCGACGTCACATACTATCGATTAACTAGGTATTTTCGAAATGTCTACCTGCCTTAGACTGTGGTATTTCGGGAGCTACTAGTAGAACAATCATTTTAAGCACTTCCGATTACCATACTTAGTCAAGATGATCCTTCAAGACTAATTAATGTATGTTAAATAACCCCTCATAAATGACGGGGCTTAAGTATACCCAAAGCTAACGCATCAGTGCCTGGCAAGTATCTGGAACATGAATCAGCTGATGAATTCATGTGAAGTCTAAAAATCTTTCGTTCTACATTCTGCCGGGGAATCTGTGAAATCCTTGAAAACGAATATCCTTGAGTACTAGCGATGACTTCAGCGCCAATTTAATCAAGTATACCCAAAAATCTAAGGTTACTGGTTGCATCACTGAAAAATGGACTTCCTCAAATATCAAAGACATCAATTAAACTCTTTTGGTTAACTTGTGGTCAATTAAATGACTAATTTCATGACCGGGCTACTCAATCAACTTCATCAAAAAATACCAGGACAAGCTGTGAACCACATGTGGAGAAATTTGAGCAATTCAATTCTACCTGAAGTTTGTGCTGATGATGTCGTTCAGAATAACGATGAAAGCTCCACGACCAAATAATCCAGTTCAGAGAACCTAACTCCATGAAGATCATATTTGCAATAATGAAACATTCATAAGGACATTTGAAAACGTGAGAATCATGAGAGGAGCTAGTGGGATTTACTGAAAGGAGAAGAAACTACTAAGGAGGTCAACCGTAAAGGGATGAAAGAACCACTGTTTTCAACATGCTAAGAGGTTGTGAACAGCATCATCATAAGGAATGGATCTCTATGGAAACCCTGGAAAAGACTCTAGGAAACAACGAAAATAAGACAGCACACAACAACAGTTGAATAAGAACAGCGAATATCAAAGCACAAAATGAACACACGGAATCAGACCAGAGAGTGAAGACAAGTATTAGAGCTGACAAGCCAAAATATATAGAAGAGGTAGCAACGACAGCCTAGAAAGCTACAAGCGGAGGAAATATGAAACAACTTCATTATAAAACGAAGAACCTAGCAAAGATATACGGTGAAGTAGTAATCAGTCAAGAACAAAGATGACTTTGAATCGAGGGCGGCGAAATATGTAGGTAGAGCAAAGAGGATCAGATGCAGACGTAAAGGTGGGAATAAGTGAAGCAATGACCGCATTCCTACAGTTGAAGAACATTTAGAACTAAAAATAACTGTCAACTAATATCAAAGTCACAATCTTCAATATGGACGTCAAGATAGTTCCACTCTAAGGCACTAAAACTTGGAGAACTACCACAACGATCGTCGAAAAGTTACAAGTATTTATAAACAGTTGTCTACGCAAGATACTCAATATCCTTTGATCGGATACTATCAGTAACAGCTTACTATGGGAGAGGACAAACAAGCTACCAGCTGATGAGGAAATTAGTAAAAGTCGTTGGAGGTGGGTAGGATACACATTGAGGAAATCATCAAACTGCATCACAAGGTAAGCCCTAACTTGGAATCCTGAAAGAAAGTGGAAAAGAGGAAGACTAAATTACACATTACGTCAAGAATCCGAAGCAGATATGAAAAGGATAAATAGCAGCTGGAAAGGATTGTTAAGGACACAGTCCGATGGAGTACCACATTAGGTGGCTCATGCTCATCCACGAGGGGCAACAGGCGTAAGTAAGCAAGTACGTAGGTTGTAAAGATGAATTATTCACAGTAAATACGAGTAAACGGAGATAATTAAGTTAAATAAATAGGCACTTCATCACAGTCTCAATATGTGCACGTTTAGACAAGAAACATATAGGATTTACAAGCCACTTCTGTTCTCTCTAGTTTTAACATTAAAGAAATGCCTTCAACGCGGAAACACCATAAATTCACTTTCATGTCATTGTATTCTTCGAAGTTACAATACTTCATCACCGCATTATATTTATATTTGTTTCATAAAAATTGGTCAGACAAGTGACATTTTCGTTGAATTTTTTACTTTTCAGCTTGAATCCATTACTACGAGGAATATATAACTACTGATAAGAACATATGATTAATGAGATTAGTTGAATCCAATCAGATTGTGATAGAGAGTGGTCAATTCGGAAGTTAACATTTCCCTCAACTGATGAGAACTTCATCCCGGTCATGTTTATGTTTAAAATGGTCTATATTCAAGCAATTTTCCCATACTTTAAACAGATTGGAATACACCAACGGATGAAACATTACGTCCCACAGTAACTTGAGGGAATGCACTGTCACAATGTCCCAAAGATACCTGAAAATAACATAAACTACTGAAAAGTATTAAGTAGTATAACATAAAAACGAGAAAGATAATGAAGTCAGTGGTTCAACCAATTTTTTAAATCTCCATTACTTGTTCCTAGGAAATATGAACCAGTTAAATCCTCTTATCACAAATTTTGTCGCCAGCTAGTAAGTTCAGAACAAAACGAAACGTAGGTTTTGGATTCTATTGCTAGCCACAGTCCAAAAATGCAATAAAAACATACGACTAGTCAGTATAAAGTTCAATTGAGATAAATCGAATGAAGTCCGTAAAATCAACATCAAGAAAATTCAAACTTTTACAAATAAAATCCACATTCCTTGTATAAGTTAGCGGTTATCTGGACTAAGTAGCTCAATAGATAATTTACTTGACAAAAGATTTTGAGTTCGACTCTCAACATGAATGTCAACACTATGATGTAGATATATACAACTGGTATGTTAGGATTAGGATGAACTTGTCGTACTGGATTTTACTACATGCTTTTATGCAACTTTAATAGACCTAAAGTCATTGGATGCTATTTTAATAGGATTTATTTGTCGTAACTGTTGCCACTTATTTAGATTACTATTTTTGAGTTATAACTGGTAAAATTCTACATAAAGGAACATTCTTTGTTCATGTTTTAGTTCTGAATGACCGGGCACTTTTAAAAGGTATAATTATCCGTTGGTTTTTGATTGAGATCATGAACCAATTGATGTTAGACCACCATTGAAAACCTGGAAGCACTGGACGGCCGTTTCGTCCTATTGTGGTACTCGTCAGTAGTGCGCATCCACGATCCCGCTCGCGCGAAAGCTTAACCTACTCCACCACTGAACCGGCATCCAACGGTGTTAATGTCTAACCTCAACCAATCCACGAAGTTGCGCGACCATCTTCCATTGTACTGAGGTAGACACCTGTTTCTACCCGACACGGATTAACTCCACTGGTCCCGACTTCTCACCAGAACTCCGAGAATTTTCTCACGAAGCTAGTCACTAGTGAGCACATTGTAATTATCAATTTAGGTGTTGTGGAGATTGTCAAGTTTTTGATTGAGATCATCAACCGATTGATGTTAGACCACCATTGAAAACTTGGAAGCACTCAATCAAAAACTTGACAATCTCCACAACACCTAAATTAATTATCTGTTGGTTTATTTGTAATCAATACCTTCTCTGATAAATTTGGTTTTGGGGCTTTTGATTAAAATAACTAGTTTATTCCCAAACATTACTTAGAGTTACATGTCATCATTAATTGAGGCATAAGAACTGCCTAAAATTATGTACATTTCCTCTTTTACTTAAATTCGAACACATTTCACATTAAATAACTGATATTCATACTTCATAAGTGTGTACATTCAGTATTTTAACATAGTTTGACAATCAGTTAATTGTTTTTTAAGCCAACTTATATTCAATAAATATGATTGTTGTGTATTTCACTGCAGAAGCTCTGGT